AAGTTCAGTCCAAGAATCTTGTCAGCTTTGCGCAATTTCCTGGCCCTTTCACTGCTTGTTTCCTTCTTGCGGAGGTGTCTCTTGTTCTTCTTCTTTTTCTTCTTCTCAATAAAACATGCACCCTCACACTGGCAAAATCCATCAGAGAATCAGAGAATGCTCTTCTTCCTAAAGTGAAGAAAAGTACATATCTACTCCCTCAAGTAGACACCCTCAAGTAAAAATGTTTTGTTCAAGTCAAGAAGGGTACACATGCTCAAGTAAATGCAATCCCTTCAAGTAAAGGCAAAGTCCACACCTCCTGGCATGCTCAGTCAACAAAAACAAAAATCCATAGCGCAAATATCCTCAAGTACATGTTGTCCTGTAGAAAACCTGCCTCTTTGGAGAAAGCCAACTCACATAAATAGAGACATTTTCTGCTTCAAAGCCATGCTCACAAAAATTTACTCATAACCTAAAAATTTACAGATAACCTAAATTGGATTTACTCATAACCTAAATGGGATTTACTATTAAATTTACGTAAATTTTTACGTAAATTTTCCTTAGTAAAACCAAAAACTTACGTAAACTTATGGTTAGTAAAATTACTAATTTGGGTGACTTAGGGCACAGATGATCCTTTTGTGATTTCACGCGTTTGTGAGCTATTGCGCAGCCGTTCCGTCAAAGGTCACCGATCTAGTACCTTGGAAAACTCATCGGTATGACTGCAGCCTCGCAATCTCATTCAAAAATGCGGTCGGGGATTGAAAGAATTGTTCCTTGCACTTTTGCAACACGTGTTCAGCCCCAAACCACCAGTTTGTACACAAACAATGTGTAGAAGTTATTGAGCAGCCCTGCGTTAACACATCGGCCAATAGACGATAATAGTAGTAATAGCAATAAAAATACACGCACCATCAACCCTTTTTCAATAACCAAACATGCAGCAATGCGTTACCAAAGCTTTCCCCAACCGAATCTCCTCAAAAGTACATTTTACTTCTTGAGCTTGAAGACCAGCTGGTTCGGGTGGTTCGGTGTCTCCTGTGCACCTTCACCTCCGTCGACTTCGTGATCATATGCCATTTCTCCATGTGCTCTTTGACCGTTGCCAACGCCATGCCATGCGTGACCCTCTCCTGACAGGAGCTTCAATTGAAGCACTGCATACGTTGCGATGTTGAATTGAGGAACCACACAATTATAGAACACACATCCCGCAAGGAGCTCAATGACAATGCGAAAACAAACATAAAACAAAGGACATAAAAAGCACAAACGAAAACAAACATAAACTAAATGTGTCTAGGTCATACGCGCGTAGAAGAAAGAATCTCGCATGGATGAAGTTTTCAGTTGCTGCAAAGGTCACGTCGTCTTTGGTCACGACGGCTTGGTGCACAGCCACAATTGGACGACGCTCGTGAACCACAATTCCCATCTTCGGAAACGAGTCACGACAATGCTTGTACACAAAGAAGGGCTTTCCATTCCAGCTTCCGCGCTCTTCAAATGTATTTGACGGCGGCGCCGCCGCCACGGGCAAAACAGGCAATGTAAACATTGTCTTCGGTCAAAACTGACTCATGATGCCCCTGCCACAGTTCTCGGAAATCACTGAGCTTGATGGCGTCTTTGCCACTCTCTGGGATGAAGGCATATTCCATGACCATTGCGTGAGTTTTGACTATTGGCTCCATCCTCTGATGTTTCAATCCTCTGATGATAGTTACATCACGTTGCATCTCTTGCAAAAAGTTTCAATCCTCTGATGCTACCAGGAGTGACTCCTATAGGCAAGCAGGTAGAGGTTTGAAACAGAAAGAAGAAATATTATATGCCACATATGGGTTGAACTGTCATTCCTCTGATCAAAAAGTTCCAATCCTCTGATGGTTCAATCCTCTGATGCTTCCATGCAGGCGCGACTCCTTTCGACGAGCAGGTCGAGGATTGAATATCGATTCGAAACCACTCGTTGTTGAGCCAAATACAATTCAATTGCAACTGGGCATTCATGGTTGAACACCACTTCAAATAGTTAGACAATCAAATCGACTCAAACCTTATAGAATTTTCCAGATCAACAGTTTCGTCTTGAGGTTCAATCACTGAAACGCCAACCTCTACGTTAAGAAAACAAAACGATGCTACAAACCGATCAATTTCAAATTGACACGCGCAAAATCCACACGCTGCCCCGGATAAACCGAAACGAGCCTGCGTGCCAAAGGCAGCTGTCGCGGCATTGGATCACATCCTTGGCCGGTGCAATGAGACCATATATAAACCAACAGATGGTCAATGTATAAGCAAAACCTGATATAACAAACAAGTCAACAACTTGTACACAATGCTCGACAATGCCCCCAAAAAACATTGAACAGTCGATACTGGTCTATCGAAAGCCACAACAGATTGAGTTCATGTGCTCACTTCAAACGGCCTGAAACATAACACAAATAAAAACAAGGACTCCTAAAACTCGATTCAAAACAACTGTTTTTTCAACATGATGCAGTTCAACAACTCTTTGAACATGATGCCGAATCCACCCACTGTCTCGAATGACCCGAAGCGAGCCTGCGTGCCAAATTAAGGCAGCTGCCGCGGCATTGGATCACATCTTTTGGCCGGTGCTATGGGACTATATAAAACAAATGATGGTCAATGTACTCAAGACCTGATCAAACAAAGAAGTCAACCTTTGCGAAGACCAAAAACCCGATTCAATTAACCATTCTTTTGAAGGGTTTCGAAGCCACGAAATTAAAAACATGTGTTACTGTATATAGTTTGGTGACCTTTGGTGGTTCCCTGTTTACATGCCTGCGTGCTTGAGCGTCGTTCTGGCATCTACGGTGGCTCACTGTTTATACCCCCATGTGTTTAATGTGCGGAATACACGCCCACCAATCTGAATCCAATCAATAAATGTATACTTGGAGCATCGAAACAAAATGTTTGGAATGCATATGTTCGGAACATCGAAGCAAAGCCAAAACAAGTAAAGTACATGTCTGAAACGTATGTATGAAGTACTGTGTTTACAAATGAGGATGCGAGCACGTGTGGCCCAACACCACCTTGATCATTGAATTTAACGTCAAAAAAAGCACATTTTGCTAACGATATACAAAAATATATCTTAAAATATCTTATATATTCCACTTACTAAGTTCGACCGGTCGAACTTACTAAGTTCGACTAAGTTCGACCGGTCGAACTTAGTAAGTTCGACCTGTCGAACTTATAAGCATAGATACTAAGTTGGATAACCTCAACTAAAACATATATCGAATTTACATATCTAAGATAGTAAGTTCACATTAACTAGATCATATGTTCGCTATCTTCGCGTTGGACTTACTAAGTGGTTATATCACCTTAGTAAGTACAGACAGGAACACAAGTGCACATAGGCAGTATAGAGGCGAACTTAACACGGTTGCAAGTTAGTTACCGCAGTTGCAACCACCTTATACCTAAGTTATAGTCTAGTTATATTTGGTTAGTAAGCTGGACAACGAGGCTAACTACTTACAACCCCAACCGCACATCCAAGTATATTCGCCGGGTGCCCCAGTTCAGCTGAACGTGAGGGAATTGTACATGACTGTGATAGTCTTCCCAGAGGCTCCGAACTCGCTCCCTGGGAGATCAGCAGCGAACAGCCTTGTGTCACTGCTGCGCACCGGCACCCACTTAAATGCCTCCACGACATCCTTTTTCGCCAGCAACACGTCCATCCCTGGGTACCGAAGTTGCCACCAAAGGATGAGCTTGGCTACCTCATCGTGGCGAGGTTGCAGGGCTGGTGGATGCCGCGAGCGGTGGCAGTGGGCATTCACCGGCCTCGCGTCCCATATCACGCGGCCTTTCTCGGAGACGCTGCGATCTGGGTTCATCTTGGGCACCCTTGCTAGGGCGACAGAAATCACCCCGCTGAGTTCCCTTTGCCCATAGTCGTAGCAGAGCAGCGCCCTGCCTTTTCCGGCATCAGCCCACAACTGGGTAGCCGCCTCTTCGAAGTGCTCCTTCAAGCTCGGGTGTGGTCCACAGCGGACTTGTCCCCCTTGGGCTCCTTCATATCGGGCTTCAATACCCCATCTGGCATTGGCCCTGGCCCTTTCACGGACATCGTCTGCAACGAGGCCTTCAAAGAAGTCGCCGTGGAGATCTTGGAAGTGGTCGCCCTTCAGCTCAACCCAAACCTTCCGGATAGCTCTGTTGGCTTCTTCCCAATGGCCCGCTTTTTCTAGAACAAGTGTGCCGAGACGCGCCCCTTCTAGGAAACTTTCGTTGGAGAAGGGATGGGACCCCACAAAGTCCAAGTAGTCTTTACAGGCGCTCGCAAGTTCTTCTTGAACGGGTAGATCCAGTGGACCCTCCGGGCCTAAGGCCTTCGTACCACGCAGTCCCGGGCGCGAAGCGCGCCACGGGACCAGCTCCCACACGCCCACTCGGGATTTTTGCATCTGCTCCTCCCCCCCCCTTCCCAACGATTACCTCCACTCCGATGGGGATGAGTGGGTCTTTCATGACCACTTGCGCAATCAGTGTTGCAAGGTGAGGCGAGTACATGGCACTGGCGGCCGTGGCGCCCCTTCAACAGGATCATGAGGGTGAAGACGGGGGCAACGAAGGCTGAGTTGGTCAGCCATTTGGGCGTCAGTGGTGCGGATGAGGGTGGGTTTAAGGTGTAAGCCACCCATGGGTGAGGAGAGTCCAGTCTGGCATTGGTCGAGGCGGGCTCAGTGCCATCGAGGATCAGCCAAGGCTTTGATAGAAGAGGGTTCTTTCCAAGCAGCTGAGGTGAGAGGGTTCTCCAGGTGGCCGTGGCGATTGGCTTGGAGCTGCACGCCGACCAGCTCAAGGGTAAACTTGAGATGCAAGCGACCTTCTTTGAGCCGAGGCCCCATGTCACAGTTTCGCAAAATAGCAAGCCGGATCCAAGCGCAGAAAGGTTTGCAGGGGAAGAACCCCAAAGGTGACGTGGTTGAAGGCGCCGCACCAAGAAGCGAGCTAGTGAGCGGTCTTTTGCACACCGGAAGTCTTGACCATGGTCCAGGCCCAAGCAAATGGCAATGCCATTATGCTGCAGGACGGCTTGGGTCGCCCGCCCTTCTCCGGCATAACCTCCAGGAAGTCGAGCTCCGTTTTGAGGGCTTCATCGAAGAGGTAGCTTTGGTCCCCAAGCCAAGTGCGGAGGTCTTGGTCGGTCCATTGAAGATCGTCAACTCCAAGTTCCCAGGAGTCCATCCACCAGTTTTTGTTGCGAAGGCATCGCTGTGGAGGTGAAGGCCCAACACCGCCGGCGGGCGTACTGTGGCACCTCTTGCGCAGCGTCGCATCTTTTGGACATAGCAAGTAGTCCCGGCGCGAACCGACGCCTCAGTACCAGATGCTGCTTCCAAGTGACACTCCCATCCTGCAGCAGCAACTTCTCTCACAACGGGGGGTGGTTGGCTCAGGGCGAGTGGGGTCATCAACCGCATGTGACCCTGATGGACCAGGACCAGCAAGTAGATCGCACCTTTGCTGTCACCTGACGAAAGCACGCCTCGGATAACTTCTGTAGAAAGGTCGCCGTCAGGTGCCATACGCCATACGCACCACGTGGAGGTCATACCCATGGAGTTTCTCTGATGGGAAGGCTGCCATCGTTCGGTAGTCTTTGTCATGTGACCAGAACAGCAAGTCGTGGACGAACACCCTGAGGTCTGCTTCCGACCGTGGAATGTGCTCTGGACAATCGCCCAGGTGTCGGTTGGCTTCAACTGCTTGAAATGCCAGCTCGGCCCTCATGATGTTGGTAGTGTGCTGGACCTCATCTGGTGTGGGCACCCGACCACGCTGCTTTTCCAAGTAGCCTGCTGCGCAGTGCAACAGTAAGCATTGTCTGGCTTCTTTTTCCCCTTTAGCCGAATTGGCCTGTTGGAGTTGTGAAGTCCACTCAGCTGTGGGCTGAAGCTGGTCTCCAAAGTCGTAAACACTCCAGGTGCCCCCGCTCCATCTGAGGGTCCCTCGACCTACTCCATCTTTCCACTCAAGCTTCGAGAGAAATCCGGTGTTGGCGGAATACCCGGTCTTGCGTGAAGATCCCTGAAGGGCTTCGTCGGCAGCAGCTGACAGTCCAGGCCCCCCTTGACTCCTTGCCACTTCGAGGCTTTCCCTCACATGTTCGTCCGTCAAGGGCCTGTCTCGGTTTCGCTCTTTGAGCTTCAACAACCTGTTTTTGAGAAATGTTGCCAGAATTCCCTGGTATCCTTCGGTGAGTCCCTGTTGGTCAATTGAGCTCATGTGAGCCAGACGAGGCTTTGCCTGTTCATCGAATTTCCCGGGTTCCAAGGTCACAGTCCGTTTTACCTTCCCTGCGTCGACATCTTCATAAAGAGAGAAGTCGGGGCCCTTTAGCAACTCAGCCATCTCTTGCTCTTGGTCGGTGGGGTTGATCCCGGTCAGTTCCAAAGGAGGAGCCTCAGAGCTTTCATCCTCGAGGGATGGCTCAGTTTGATCTGGCGGCGTTTGTCCCACCTTTTGATCTGGGGAGCTTTGCTGGTTTTTGGAGTTTTCATTGTCTCCCACTTTCTTGGCTCGTTTCCCTTCTTCCACCATCTCCTTGGTTTTCGAAGCTTGTGTCTTGCGGATTGCTTCCATTTGCTCAACAACTTGGGCTTCCGTCAAGGAGGGGCCGCTTTTCAGTCCACCTCTTCGAAGGATTTGGAGTTGGACGGCCCAATCCATTCCTTCCCATTTCACCCCTGTGGCGTGGGAATGTGGGCACGCAGTGGGCTTGTTGCACCCCCTGTGGGACAAATTGTCCCAACAGAGATATTTGGCACCCTTCTTGTCCTTGGGCCTGTGGTCAAGTGCTCGAGCTGCTTCTCTCCCAGTGAGATTGGGTCCCATCAGCCCCTTCATTTCCTGATTCTTGCCGGTTTTGGGTTCTGGGCGCGATTCCGACGCCTCGGTTCCCTCGCCGGCCTTTCCTCCATGGAGGGGGTTGTTGGGGCTTTTCTTCAATGCGACTTGCCAGCAGGCTCGAGACAGCGTACGGTTGTGCCGGGGCAGTACATCAGTCTGGAAGTACTCGCTGGGGTCTTCCAAGTAAAAAGTCCTGGGGAGTCTCAACCACGGTTCACCGTCTTCTTCGGGTGCGGTCGCAAAAAACCGCATACGTTCGAAAGATGGTGCTTCCTCTTTCATCGCCCGCCGTAGGTTGCAATCCAAGTCTCTCATCTCTTCAGTGTACCTTGACCAGAGTTCTTCCCACACACTGAAGATGGCATGAGCCGGCCACATGTAAGTATGCGCTTCTCCCAGTTTCAACAGGAAGGTTGCCGCTTGTTCAAAGGAAGAGTAATGCTCGGTGCCGTAAACACATGCAATTGCCCAGGCTTGCCCAAGGCATTTCGATACCAAGCGTTCAGGGTGACCGGAACCTTTGGTCTCTTCTCAAGCTTGAGGTCGGCACATCCGGCCCAGTTGTCGAACTCCTCTTCTCCGGTGAGCGGGAAGTCTGCAGCCGAAATGCAGTACTCAGGCAATGACTTGTTGTCTTTGCCACCGATGCGCATTGCTGCTAACCCATAAGCGATCCGGTTGCTGATATTTACAGGGAACTGCATCGCTCTGAGCTGAGGTCTCCCTTGAGTGGACGTAGCTCGGAGGGCGTGGAAAAGTTCTTTCCCAACAGTTGCTGCCCCCAGCGAGACATTGAAGGCGTCACATCCCCTGACCAGGAGAACGAGTCTCTCCCCACTTTTCCAATAGCCGCAACTTTGCCACGATCTTGTCCGGCTGCCTCGTCTTTGGCTGCCATGGCCTTTGCAATCGTCTGGAGAGCTTTTGAGGTCTCGTCGAGTTGCGGTGGCTCTGCGTCACTGTAGGCTCCGACGTGCCTAGGCCAAGAGGCTGCTGCAAAGATCCTAGCAGCATCTGGTATGGTGCCGGAGGGATTGGCTGTCATCCCAGTGGGGAGGTCTTGAGATCCTTTGGGTCTGAAAAACGCTTGAGGATTAGAAACGGGTGGTGGTGTGGCCCGGGATGGAACCACATTGTGTGCTGGCGTTGCAACTTGGGGGGTTCCTGCCAACTCTCCTGAGAAGGGGCTCTGGCTTGCTGGGGTCCGAATGCTCAAGACAGGGTCTTCACCCTCGGACTCGAGCCCCTGGGGGGGCAATCCTCAGTAACCAGTTCGATGATCGCCTTCTTGGCTAGTTGAGGGTATTCCTTGGGGAGCTTCGCGACATACTGTGTTGCTTGGTCCTTAAGCTCTTCCCAGGTCTCGTGTGGCCCACAACTGGGCATTGTGCAGTTTTCAAGTGCTTCTCTGGGACCTTTTCCCTCGAGAGCGAGCCTCAGGTATTTTCCCAGAAGAGCAGCTTTCTCGGCGCCTTTGGCAGGGGGAAGTTCAGAGCTCTCACCGGGCGCGGAACGCGCCTCGGTGATCGCTTCTGGGGCCCTTTCGGCTGACACACTTCTTTTGGGCGCTTCGTTCCCTTGGTTGGATCTGCTCTTGGAGGGGCGGGGCCTCTCATCTTTGGAACTGTGGGCCTTACACAATCTGAGCCCTCCTTTGGTGATCTTTACCTCACGGTCGCATCCTTCCACGACGCAGGTGCGTCTCGCGGCTTGTCCCTCATAATGAAGTATATAAGTTGCCATCCTCATGTCGGAGGTCCTCAGCGCTGCTGATCTCGGCATCGGAACTCAGCAACTTCACTTTCTCTCCTCTCGCTGCATCTTTGCACGCAATCAGCGACAGTGGGGTGGCCTTTCCTTGAACGAGAAAAGCAACTGACTCCGCTTGACATTGCGTCTCGTCATCAATCTCGGACTCTGTTTCGGAGTTCTCATGTCTCGGTGTTGACGTGCCGCTAGAAGGCGCGGCCCGATTTCGGGTCCTTGGTCTGCGCGCTCCACAACCCAAGCAGCACAGGCATTTCACCGCTCTTTTGACTCCCCGGTAGCAGCTCCCGCATAGGCCGACACTGGTATATCCACAAAGCCATGCGGCTGTTGCACAACGAGCTAAAGGGCCTTTGCCTGCAGCATCTTGCAAGTCATACTCGGCAGTTCGAGGTACAACTGCTGAGGCGATCACGTGAAGGCAGTCATCATCTGGTTGTGTGCAGGGGTGAGCGGCGCGCAAATGGACACAACAACTCATGCCCTCCAGTTGGTTTCGGAAGTAGCGATGAGAGGCTGCATGGACATTGTCGCACTCGGCTTTGAAGCCGCGCCGATTGGTACGACCCCGTAATGTGCCGTGCCTTAACCTGGCGATGGCCGTGCCGTCTGTGACGACCAGGTCGTGAGGTTCGCGCCCCTCGCCTCTACCCCTGACTTCTTGTTGGATGTAGCCAGCCGACCACTCCTCTCTGCCCCTAGGGCCGACCCATTTTGGGCGAAAAACTCTTACCCCGTGCATGTGGGCAACCTCGTACCACTGGCTTTGTCCTTAAGGTACCGCCACACAGTGGCAACATGCTTGTAGGCAGGCACCAGAACCCAGTTGAAGGTCCACACCAAGAGCTGGAGTAAGAAGATGGCGACTAAGGCGGTAGCCAGCCAGTAGCTCCACCTCGCCGCTAAACCTATGGCACCTACTATGGAAGTGCAGAGCGTTCCACAGTATAGCAGGCTAGTCGTAGCGGCATCGTTGATCATCCGAATGCTGATTTTGATTAGCCATGCAAAATCCCATGGCCATCCTGTTTGTCGGGGTTCACCTGTCGGTTCCGGGCGCAATCGCGCGCCACGGGACCAAGTATCGCCAGGATCTTCCCCGGAGGAGCATTCCTCACCGGCTTTGCAATTTTCTTCGGTAGCCGACCCCAGGATGTTGATTCCCCATGAATCAACACATCTAAGGAGTGAATCGCAGGTACAGAAGGCCACCAGCAGAACATTGCGAAGTGGCACCATCCCGACCCGCGGCTACCCTAACAGCAAAACCTTGAGCCGCTACAGGTGAAACAGTTTTGTTACAAGAAAACCCCGTGCACACTGCGTTGAACACAACAAGTTTCCTTTTCCTAAACTGTCACCAGCGCGCAACACCCTTTTTGCGCGCGATGGCTCAAACTCAGGCGTCCTTACGCCGTTCCCTTTGCCCATCTTGGGCTTCCTTCCCCCCTCAGGAATCCGGACGCGAAACGCGTCACGGATCCTTATTGAGAGGGTCAGTTTGGAGTGAGGTCTGCCGTGATCATTTTCTGTGCTACGCCTTTGGCAGTCTCTCGCGCCTCCCATATGTAGGTTTGGAAGCTGTCTGAGGCCCATCGTCCCCAGCGCTTCACTAGGGAGGTGTCTTGGTACTGTGCCCACAGGGCACTTGCCCCACCGAACCTCAGCGAGTGAGCGCCGAGGTCCCCTTCCGGGAGTCCCAGACCTTTGGCTGCCCTGACGGATTTCACAACACACACCTTTTCCGCAGTGCGAAAGTGGTTTCTGACCTGTCCCCGATTGTAGATGTCTGTCTTGGATCCTCGCACCAGAAGGGTGACTTCGTCAACTTCGCTGATCCGGTTCAGCGCCACAGCATTGCCATTGAGCTTCAAGGTGACGTCGGACCCACGCAGGCCTCTTCTGGGATCTTGGTACCCGACATCAAGGTATTCCGATGCCCGAAGTAGGAAGAAAAATCGCAAGGTGAGGGCGCCCCAAAGGAGGCTAGCTTCCTCGGCCCTTCCATACTGCAGATGATCCGCAAGCCATTTCAACATGTCTGGAGTCACGGGCATCCGTCGTTCCTTGGTGCCGAAGCGCCGTCGCAACCCGGCCAGGGCAAGCGGGATCCTTGGCATGTGCATCAAGAGATCTGGGTATCCCAACGTCAAGTGCATGCTGCGTATGGCGGAAAGTCGCAGTTTGATGGTGCCCGATGCTTTGCATTGGAGGCACAGTGGACCAGGAAGTCGATGACCAGTTGTTCCTCTTGACGGCTATAGGCCGGCACATATCTGACTGGGTCTTCACCCCTTCGTTTGCAGAAGAGTGACCACCAGCCCCATTGCGACTGCCCAGAGAGCCCAAAGACCTCTAATTAAGGGAAAACCCTCTAATTAAGGTAAAGCCCTTTAAAAACAACCTCTATTTAAAGGTTAATCCTTTAATTAAAGGTCTTTACCCCTTAATTAGAGGTCTTTGGTCACTTAAAAAAGGTATAGTCCTTTAAATAAAGGGTTTTGGTGCTAAAAACATACAACCCTTAAATAAGGGGTTTTGATGGCTCATGATTGGTGGGAAAAAACATGTCAAACACATGTTTGGCTGAAATGTTTAATCTGGTGAAACCTCCTGTTCCACTAAAGGAGGGGCCTCCTACATGAAGGAGCATTGTACATTTTTATCATATTAGTTGCATATTGTCTGTTTGAAGGAGAAGCCTCCTGCAAAGGAGACTTCTCCTGTTACCACATCCCAACCCAGCAGCTGCAGCACCTTTTTTCTCAAAGCGAAGGGACCTGGTGCAAGGCTGCAAACTTATGGAACATGGCTTGTGCCACAGCCAAGCAAGTGAGGTTACCTCCTCGCCTTCTAGCAAGTTCTGACATTTGCCCTCCCCAATCCTCATCTCTGTAGGTCCACCCAGTGGATGGGGAGGCTTTGGGGTCAAATGTCAGTTCCAAGAACAAATGTAGTTTTGGGGTAACCTTGAAAAGTTGTCGACCTTGCTGGACAGAAATTTGGTTCAAGGTGACATACACAGCAGCAAACTTCAAAGCTTCTCTGTGCAAAGCACTTGGTTCAAACACTTGCTGGCTCAATTGCTGGTAGCAATTGTGCAAATGTTGGGCACATTGGATGACTGCAGCTTCAAAAGAATCTGCATTGTTGAGCAATGCTGTGCATTGCAACAAAGAAAACAAAATCAAGCCTTTTGCCTCTCCTGCTTTGGCTCTCAACTTAGGAGAAGTAGACCTGGAAGACTTTTTCTTGTCTTTGTAAAGCATGGAAGCCTTCAGCAAAGGCATTTGGGAATCAATGGCATACTCCTTGTAGTAGTTCTTCATACTGACATGCAAAGCTTTGCACCTCTGGTCCACATTGTTCCCAGGCAGCTTCTCTGACAACAGGACAAAGACAGAGGCTAAAGGTCATACATAGAGAAATAAAATATGAATCACTAGGTTTATGATAAATAAGATATTCATGGTCAATGCTCGTGTACGCATAGGAGGTGGTGGCCCTTCTCCTGCTGCGCCAAAACCGGAAGAAGTGCCTGCACCAGCTGCTGCTGCCACTGCAGAAGTTCCCAATGGGGGGGGGTTCCCCCTGAAGCTCCCAATGAGGCTGCCAATGAGGTTGAGGAATCTCCCAATGAGGAGCCTAAGCCAGAGCCTGGGGCCAAAGATACTGAGAACTGAATATCTTCTCACATATCTTCCAAAGCCATCTCAGCTTGAAAAAAGGTGTTGCTTTGCTGCTGGGTGGGGATGGATGATAAAGCTCCTTGTTGGGCAGGAGCTACAAAAAATAATACCTCCTGAACTAGGAGGTCAATAATCAATGGTTGATATGTTAAAAAAAACCTCCTGGGATTAGGAGGTATATAAATAGTTTAGGGCTTCTACAAAGACCAACCATTTAACTTCATTTAACTTCATTTAGCTTGGTCCATTTAACTTCATTTAACTTATACAGCCGTTCTCGCGTCAGGGTCTTCGGTCAGCCCTTCAGTCTTCTCTTGTTTAGGTTCTACAAGTTCTGTAGACGCTCCTGCTGGGATGGCCTGGGCGATTTCCACCTCAGAGTCAGTGCCCCCCCAATCAACTTCCATTTCTCCTTTGTTTTTCCGGGCGCGAAACGCGCCTCGGGTCCGCCTACACTTCCTCTGTCGCGAGGTCCACAGCAAGGTCATCTTCGAAGTTCTCGGGTAAGTTGCTCCCGAGGCCTTTGGCGACGTCTATAGGATCTCTTCGGCAATGGGTTTCTTCTCTTCTTCTGGCATGGGACCCCATCTGCCTGTCACTTTGGGCCTGATGGGCAGCGCAGCGCTTGACATCGGTGCTTTGGCAGAGCTCGCTGCCGAGCCATGCTCATCTTCTCGGTCCTCGAGGCTTCTGCCTTCAGGTAAGCCGTCCCACTGGGTGATCCTAATGATTGCGGCTGGCGGTACTGTCGAATCACATGAGCCACACCTTGTTGCCGGTCTTCCGGAACTTGCATCCAAGGTCAACGGCTTTCTTGACATCGATATCTATCCGTGTTTCGAGGTCGACCCGCCACCGCTCTGCGTGTTCCTCGGGGTCGTGGAAGTGGACATCTCGGTCGCCTCTCACCAACCCCTTCTTCTGAATGGACGCAGTGTGACGTCGGTAGCTGCCATGCGCCAGCAAGGCCGGGAGTTCCTCGGTTGGGACCACTGCGGCTGGGCCAACAACTCTCTCCTGCGTGTGGCCCGACCAGGCCGCGACCCACCAGACTCCATCAGTGTCTTGCTTCGCAACGAGTCGGTCCTTTTTGTCCTGGTCGAGTGCTTCCAGCAGCACCCAGTTTTGGAATCTTTTGCAGGACTGATGCGCGGCGAGTTGTTGCCATTTCACCCAACCTTCTTCGCTGATGGGGCACTCCTCGGTGCCCGCCGCATGCCTCAGCACATAGCACATGGCTTTCATTGCCTGCTCATGGAGAGGGAGACCTTTGTTCTTGTTCTTCTGTTTTCCCCCCACAAGGCCGGCGCTGATCCCTGCTTGGGATTGTCTTGGAGCCACTTCATCAGGACCCTTTCAGTCTCTTCCTCCCAGGCGAGTCGACAGACAGACTCCCACTTTGTCGGGGAGATTTTCCCCCAGGAGTTGTTGAGCTGCCCAGTGCACTGCCGCATCAGCCAGCTTTCTGGGGGTCGCTTCAAGTAACGTCTTGGGGTCTCCGCATGCGGTGCGTCTGTCTTCCTCCTGATATCGCGAGCTCCTGCCGTGCAACAACTTCGCCGCTTCAGCAGGTGTGATTGTTCGAGCAGCCGGGCCGTCCCAATCAGCAAAAGCCGATCATCCCTTTCTGGCTGTCACGATCTGTCATGTAACCCTGGTAGGGGTCGGCATGGGTCCCACACCAGGGCCCTTGGTTTGCCAGGGGCCGTGAAAGTGCCAGCTGGTTTCGGCTTGGTGGCCACCAAAAAGGGCATGCTCGGGTCGATCTTGAGAACTCCAGGTTCCCACATGGCTTTGGGTACTTTGGAGTCTTCGAGGAGCCATTCCACCGGGTACCCCGAGAGCGGTGGTGTCCAGACTCGGCCATCAAAACCCACCGCTTCCACCATACTTGATCCTTCAAAGTTCTGCCGCAGAGGGGGTGTACCTGGGTGTGGTACCCAAGTTGCTCGAGTTGGCCTCCTAACTGGCTCACTTGCTTCTCGTCCCGACTGTCAACCCAAATCAGCACAGGTTTGAAACGGGTCACTGCGGCAAGGAAGAGTTTCTGCCTTCCAGCCCATTTCTCCCCTGCGAGTGAAATGCAAACCAAATTGGGTGCGTCTTCACCATGGGCCGCTCCATGTGCGAGTAGCGAAGAGGTGTAATGCTGTGGCTGGTCACTGAAATCCAAAAACCTCAGGTGGGTTGCGTGGATGACCAGTAAGCTCTGAAGACATTCTCCCCTTTGTCTCCCCTTCGCGAGTTGGAGTGCTTGGCACCGATCTGCTTCCGGTTGACCAGACCACACACAAGGGCTCTTCTTTGCCACCCTCGGTCGAGAAAACGTTCCAGGTCTTCGGTCGGGTCGGGCAGGCATTCCAACGCTGCCTTTTCCATAACCTCCTTTGCGTCCTCTCGGGTGAGGGCGTCGGCGACCACGTTGTGGTAGGTCCGCAGGTAAGCCGAGTGGAGGAAGAACCCATGGCAAGCTTCAATCGCTGCAAGAGTCTGGAGAAGGAAGCTGGCCATGGGATGCTTTGCTTGTCTTTTGCCTAGCCAAGCAATTACCACTTGGTTGTCTCCAAAATAAAGTACAATCTTCCCGATCCACTTCTGATGTTGGTGCACGGCAAGCAGCACAACTGCCAGTAACTCTGTGAGGGCTACCATGAGTGTCTCATGCTCTTCTTCTGGAGGTTCCGGGCGCGAAACGCGCCGCGGACCCAGTAGGTCATCTGTGGCTTGTGCTCCATGGCTTCCAAAGTAGCCTGGTACTGGTCAACTCGCAAAGCGTAGGCCTCTTTGTTGGACCAGTCAACAGCTCCGACCCTTTCCAGGGTAGCGTCGCCCGATGCCCAGATGATCCTCTCTCGGCCACCGGGCAGAGCCAAAAGTTCGCGCACCGTCAAGGCTTCCACCAAAGGGTGTGTGAAGCGCACGCTCCATTCGGATCGATTGTCCACCAGGAGGCGTTGCAATTCGACCGCTTCCCAAAACCTCCCCCAGGCTCGCCTCTGTTCCTCAAGTGTGCCCCGCGGCTTAGCCATCCCTTCCGGGGTGGGGGGGCCCAACAAGGCGTTGGTTGCAGAGAGCAAGGGCCGGAGGGCCGGCATCACTGTCAACCAGAATTGTTGGTTGCCTCTGAGTTCTTGCACCAACTTCAGCGGGACATTCGTGTTCCCAAAGTCGAACTCGGGCAAGTGCAACAAATAGGAAGCCTTTTCGAGCTTAGCCGCGGGCAGCGATCTCGTGTGCTCTGCCGTGTTGTACATGAGCCCCCAGATCAGCTTGGTCGCCTCAAGTGCCCCTTCGACCTCGTCCTTCACTTCATTAATGGTGCCGGGCCCCAACGCTTTCTTCGTGCACGTCTCGCACGTCTGCACCGACAGCCACGGGCGAACCCCAATGTCCGGTTCAATCAGGATCGAGTCGTCCATCAAGACCAGTGACTTGAAGCCGACCGAGTCATTCCACAGCCCATCTTGGGGGGCATGAGCGGCATGGGGAGCTTTGCGACCCAGGCGAACATCATACTTGGATGTGCGGTTGGGGTTATAAGTAGATAGCCTGGTTGTCC